TGTTTCCGAGGTAATCTCCTTCGATTCCGGTGAAAAGATGCTAAGCTTTCGTCCGTCATATGACGGACATGATTATAGCGAGGTATCATCGTCACAAAAAAATTCAAGCTAACGGACGAAAGCTTAGCACCTCTTCACCGGAATCGAAGAAGATTGCCTTGGAAACAGCGTCAGCATGAATGTTCCAGTAAAGCCAATGGACAGCTGGTCAAGAGGAATCCGCCGTCGTCTTCTGGTGGAAGCGACCTTCGAATCTCTTTACCCAACCCTTTTCTACAGTCAGCATCGCCTCAAGTTTGCCCGCAGTCATTTAAGCAATGCCAGTAGTCTGAAAATTGTCGAGGGTCTTTGATGTTTCCACCGTTCTTGCATTGTTGGGGCATCTGTTTGTTTCACGAAAAGCTGAAGAATGTACTTCTCCCACCTTCGCTTTCCATCTCACCCACTTCAGGTGCAGCCTGGGCTGGCGCGGCAAGGACTGCAGCCGATGCATCCCTCATCCCGACTGTGTTCAGGGCGTCTGCTCTCCGAAGGCCGGTGGCAACGAGACGACTGGATCCTTGGAGCCGTACACCTGCCTTTGCCTGCCCGGCTGGGGCGGAGTCTACTGCAGCATTGGTTAGCCGAAGTGGTGGCAGCTTTTGTCATTTGGTCATTCACCGATTATGTTGATATAACAAATTAGGTATGAAAACCAAAATGGTATGGCTTTCATTTTGGCCACAGTCCACCTTCGCTGTATAGCAAAAGTTTTACTCCATTTTCGCAACGCTGTCGTGTTGTCAAGGTGACACAGATTAGCACACCTTCTCCGAACTCCTCCACTAGAATGTCCATGATACTTTCCAGCCTCGGACAGTGGTTCAAAATCATGTCTTAGCAACTGAGGCTTGCATCGTTGTATCTTCCGAAAAAGATGTCCAGCGTCATATTTGGTAATAGGAAGACGCTGATCATAATGAACCTGAAGAATTGCCTCTTGAATGTGGCGAATAACGTTCGCGCTTAGCAAAGTTTATAAC